TAAGTACGAGACAAGTCACATTTTCACAATTAAGCAAATAATAACGAAATGGCACACAAGATAAATTTCGTTGTCAAAATCGTCACTTTTCACGCCTATTACGAGTTCAGCTTTTTATCGTGGCGAAGCGCTGTAACGCACATACAAACACGAACCCATGTCCATGTGCTCGCCTGCGATGTGCCGATAGTGCGAGCGAGACAGCGAGCTCCTTCTCACACTAGTCGCTTGTTTCAAGCGACCGAAAATGCTTTCTCGGCAATCTCGGCCGCTCGGCGGCCCTAGGCATCAATAAGGGGCGGGGGACATTCTATAAATAACATATAAGTTTTAATAAATTGTAGTAATAGTGTACCCGCGTCCCATTAATCCAGAATAGTATAAAGCATGTTAAAATGCAACAATTTAGGAAATATTTAATTGTTTACGATTTTCCATGCGCGTTATATAGTACATCCCTCCTTCATAAACTCGAGTAGCAAGAATAGTTCAGTAGAAGTAGAATTTTACCGGAAAAAAAATTGTAAACCAGCGTTTCTTTTCACGAAAGTCTCGAAAGGCTATCAGAAAAGAAATGCGTATGTTTGAGACTTGAGACTTGTAAAGAAAATATGCGAATAAAGTAAAGAAAAATAATCGAATAGTTGCAAAAAGTTATAAGCGAAAACTACACGTTTTTCACTTATAAAACGAAAGATATTGATTATATGGAAAAAAGTTCGGTGTAAAAAATGTAGGTATTCGAAATACCTACAAAATGAGATCATTAAAATCGATCTATTAGTTCAGTAGAAAAAAAAATAAAAAACACCGAAAAAGGCCTTTTTTTCACTCGCACTCTGTTCATTAAGATTTAAACGCAAAGTTTTAAAATTTTCCTAAAATGTAGCCCTCGTATTAACGAACAAATCTAGCCCTGATCAAGCCTGAAATGTTCATTAGTTTTTGCAAAAAGCCATTTGTTCACTAAAAACCTGTCTGCGGAAATTTAATTTCTTCATCTATGAGCAGTCACACAGCAATTTACAGGGATAATTTTTCTTCTTCAAGAATTGCACTATCACATACACTTAATAACAAAACGATTTTTTCAATTAAATTATTATAAAATGACTTTAAAAAGAGTGGGTATCTTTTCCATATAAAAAAATTGAATAATTCCGTTAATATTCACCATACCAAATAGCTGTACGAAGCATTCGACATCTAACATTTTTCTACGAATTTACAAAAAAAAATTACCCTCCGATTATTAGGAGCCGAGAAAACAACTTATTTCAAAAAATCACTGTGACTCTAATTTTTAAGATTAAGAGTTCTGTCTGGCACTAATTTTTCAAGAAAGAATTGAATTTGCTGTTAAAAAAATCTCAAATTGTAACCATGAAATTTCTAGTTTTTTGTTCTTAAATTTTTATTTTTTCGGTTTATTACTAAAAAATAACGTTTGTGTATGGAGTGCATGTCTGATTAACAAATTTAAGTCACATTAGCTTATTTCTTTATTTAATATGCTGTAAAAAGTGTCCAATTCGGCAATTAAATGTACGGAATTATCAGTACAAAATTGTTTTTGTGAATTTAATTGCAGATGCAAATATGACATATGTAAACAAATAATTAATAAGTAATTTTCCAAATGTTATTGTAACTGTTGAGTATTGTTGCAAAATATAATTTTCATGTAACACTAATTTACTTTTATATTTGCAAAAGTTAGTGTTATATCGTTAACAGTTACGCTATTTAACTGCAAAAAATTGTTTTGTTATTAAGTGTACGTGACAGTGCAACTCTTGAAGAAGAAAAATCACCTCTGTAAATTGCAGTGTGACTGCTCAAAGACGAAGAAATTAAATTTCCGCAGACAGGTTTTTAGTGAACAAATGGCTTTTTGCAAAAACTAATGAACATTTCAGGCTTTGTCAGGGCTAGATTTGTTCGTCAATACGAGGGCTACATTTTACGAAAATTTCAAAGCTTTGCGTTTAAATCTCAATGAACAGAGAACGAGTGAAAAAAAGGCCTCTTTCGGTGTTTTTTATTTTTTTCTACTCAACTAATAAATCGATTTTAATGTTTTTATTATGTAGGTATTTCAAATACCTACAAGGTATGTAAATATGAAACCGGAATTTACCAATAGATGGCCATAGCTGTCAATGTAGTTGCTATCAAACCGCGTCATTGATGCCATTTCCTTGTCCTGATATCTGACAAAGATTTTCAACTCACAACAATACAAGTTTCATAGTAAAACAGTATAGTTTGTAAAAGCGTTGAACATGTCGAATTTTGTGCCTGGAAACTACGATTTGCGGACAGCACTGATTTTCTGTTACCATTTGAAGAAAACTGCTGCAGAATCGCATCAAATGCTTATCGAAGCTTTCGGTGAGCATGCTCTTAGTAAATAACAGTGCTTTGAGTGGTTTAAAAAATTCAAAAGTGGCGATTTTGACGTAAGAAACGAAGAACGTGGAAAACCACCGAAAAAGTTTGAATACAGCGAATTGCAAGCATTGCTGGATGAGGATGACGCTCAAACTCAACAACAACTCGCGGATCAATTGAATGTGACACGAGAAGCCGTCTGCATACGTTTTAAATTCATGGGAAAGATCTAGAAGATGGGAAAATGGGTTCCACATGAATTGAATGAAAGACAGCAGGAAAACCGAAAAACCACTTGCGAAATGCTGCTCGCCAAGTACAAAAGAAAGTCATTTCTCCATCGTATTGTGACTGACGATGAAAAGTGGATATATTTTGAGAATCCTAAACGTAAAATATCATGGGTATCCAGGTGAACCATTGACATCGACTACAAGGCCAAATCGCTATGGACCGAAGACAATGCTCTGTATTTGGCGGGATCAGAAAGGTGTGATCTATTATGAGCTGCTAAAACCTGGCGAAACCGTTAATACTGAACGCTACCGACAACAAATGATCAATTTGAATCAAGCTTTGCGTGAAAAACGACCGAAATATCAAAAAAGGCAACACAAAGTGATTTTGCTTCATGATAACGCACCATCACACACAGCAAAAGTGATCAAGGTAACGATTGAGGCGTTTGGTTGGGAAATACTTTCGCATGCGGCTTACTCACCAGACTTGGCTCCGTCCGATTATTACTTATTTGCATCGATGGGACACGCACTTGCTCAGCAGCGCTTCACTTCTTACGAAGATGTACGAAAATGGCTAGATGACTGGTTTGGCTCAAAAGAGCAACAATTTTTTGGCGTGGCATCCACAAATTGTCAGACAGGTGGGAAAAATGTATAGCTAACGATGGGCAATACTTCGAATAAAATATTTTTTATCATTTTCATGCAATAAACGTGTATTTTCTATTAAAAAATTCCGATTTCATATTTACATACCTGTTTGCATAACTGTTTTTGTATTAAAAATTCCGGTTTCATATTTACATAACTGTTGCGTTTTAACATGATTTATACTATTCTGGATTAATTGGACAGGTACACTGTTACTACAATTTATTAAAACCTATATGTTATTTATAGAATGCCCCCCGTCCCTTATTAATGCTTAGGGCCACTGAGCGGCCGAGATTGCCGAGAAAGCATTTTCGGTCTCTTGAAACAAGCGATTAGTGTGAGGAGCTCGCTGTCTCGCTCGGCGCGCCGCAGGCGAGCACACGGACATGGCCTCGTGCTTAAGTGTGTGGCTACCGATTTCGCCAGACTTTGTGTCGCCACTGTCATCGTAGAGTTCTTGGCTGTGTAGTCAGAAGCCTTAATCGGCGTGTAATTTGGTAACAAAAAGTCATAGGAATATTAAAAACGAACTTTTAGGAGAAACTTTAAGCTTTCACGTCAGATAATCGAAAATTTTGCAATAAATGTATTCTGTATACAGGGTGAGGCATTTGAAACATGTCTAAAACAATTATATGTTTTCTTTCCACCAACTAATTTATCTTATTATTCTGTTCATAAGAGTATTAAGGTACAATTATCAAAAAATTAATAGTTTAGAAGATATTTAACATTTTATGCCAAAATGCGATAGAATAAAGTATAAAATATCTCGTAAGCTATTGGTTTTTTTATATCACATAATAATTAGAGGAACCATATTGGGTAAAAAAAATCATACAAGTTCGTATAAAAAAATGAAGGTGACCTTCATATCTTTTTAACGCCTCCACCTAGAAGAAAGACAACATGACCAAAATACGTTCCCCTTGAAACTATGCAACTTTTGTTTGGCACTTTTCTTTCTATCGTTAAAAACAAGCGAGTTATTCAAGTGATCTGTTTTAAATACCTTACCTTGTGTAATTTTGAGCTAACAAAATTTCGCAGAACTTTTTCTCCATATATTTTGCCGCGCGGTAAGCGTCTCCGCATCCAGTTACCATTAGAACATAACAAAGATGATGGAGATATTTGTCATTATTAAACGTTTATAATTTTTGTATTATCTGATTTTAGCGATACAACAGCTCCACACGCAGACGAAGACGGCTATGGGAAGAAAGGGAAATCTCGAGATCGATTCGAGAAATTCAAATTATATATAATTTTATAACAGAAAGCAAAGCAACTGCGAAGCTAGACATCTAGTCTGCTGCGGTTGATCTATAATTAATTAGTGTCACAGGCACATTGCTACTTTATTGATTAACTGATAGTCATGATATATAAACCTCGATATATAAATTTACACTTTGATATATAAATACGTAATCTAATTGCTCATATAGATGCTGTTTTAGTTGTGTTCTTCAACCAGCTATCGTCGAAAACTATTGTATCATTTTAGAGAATCACGTTCCCATCTTTATTCTCTCTCTACATCGAAGAGATTTTTCATAGCAAATATATATACATGTACAATACATTCAGGTACAGTAGTAGCATATGGAGATTATCATTTAGTATCTAAAAGGTTGAACAAATAGGCAGACAAGAGAAAAGAGAATTGAGAAACAGAATACATAAAATAGATAGACAAACAGAGAGAGAGAGAGAGAGAGAGAGGGAGAGAGAGAGAGAGAACAAAGATCTTTCTCATCATATTTCGCAAGATCATTAATATTTAGCTTCTTCAACTTGCTACACGTCGAATTTACAGAATAATTTTGATTAAAATATACACTACAATGAGAAAGGAAGTTATATACAGTCTATTTGATCAGTAGATATGTAGAAATTGACAGAAACAAATTAAAGCACAATCTAATAAAAACGAACAGATTATCCACTCATATTCGCGCAGAACATAAGCCGTGATAATTGAGAAAAAGAAAATGAATCACGGAAAATGGTCTGTGAGGATAGTAAAAACTACATTCCACATCTCTTTTTCGATCAATTGACGAATGGGGACGATGTGTTTGATACATTGAATTTTAATAGCTATGACATCATCATAATGACTACTGGTCCGCTTGCTCGCTGGTCTCCTCATTGTTGGATGCCACTGTCGATAGTGTCCTATCGTGATTCGTGCAGGTCTCCATCTGACATATGCTTTCAGCAATCTCCAGCCAATGTTGCTTATTTATACTGACTCCGTCAACGAGTGGTACAAGTTTATCCGACAGATGGGCGAACGCCTGTCCAACATAGATACGAAAAGATGAGTTAAAAGTTTTATAAGAAGGAGTATACATGTAATAATTATTTTTTGTTACGTTGTACAGAGTGTTACGGATACATACTAGGCAGTATGACGGGTTGCATAGCAGATTGCAGGGGCATGGCGCTGTTCAGTGGTAACGACTGCACAATGTAGATAATGACGGTACCTTTATACCAACAATATCAAGAGCGTTCCAATTATGACGGATTTGAATAGTAATCATTGTAATCATTATAAGAGGAGCCGAAACGATAGTTAAAGATGAAAAATTGTTTTTAAACGAGTTATGCGATAAAACATTTTTTATATAAGAACGTTATATATAAATATATATAAACATGTATAATTGTACACGAAATATTTCTGTATGTTCTTTTTTCTTTTGTAAAATTATTGTTTGATATAAGAAAAATAGTAATAATGAAAATACATAAAAAAGAATGAAAAGGATAATTTTCGCATTGTTCCTCTTACGAAAAGTCTAGTTTGAAGAAATGAGAAAAAATTGCTCATATATAACTCTATAGAATGTTTTAGATATAATTATATGTCTGAGTAATTCTTTCTTATTTTTTCAAACTTGACTTTTTGTAAAAGGAACAATGCGAAAATTGTTCTTTTAATTATCTGTTTATATTTTCTCATTGTTATTATTAATTCTTTTGCATTGAACAGGAATTTTATAAAAGAAAGAAGGATATATAATATATATAGATTTATTTCGTATGTAAATAGTTATATATATTTATACATTTATAAAAAATGTTTTATTGGTTAACATAATAAAATATACGAATATCTTACAACAATCTTTCTTTTTTCATCTATTTATTTTTGTATTGACGTTGTAAGTTTCGATTGAATTTTCAGAATCAAAAGAAAAAGAAAAAGCGTGTCGACGCAACTCCGTACTGTGTATTCCGTTCTGGAATCAGTTACTGGAAAAACTCGCGCGATCTGAAACGCAGCATAGAATAATCGTAATTTAACCGATAACAGCCAACGAATGCTACGAACCATATAATTTCGATATAAATACAATACAACCGGTTAAAAAAAATTGCTACTAAAATTAATTCGATATTTAAGCCTTGGTCTTAAAAGTTCGGAATGTTCTAAGAGTGTTGATCGCAGACAGCAATATTTATAAAATATTTACAAAGTATTTGTAACATTTATTTTGAAAACTTTGTAAAATTGGCTTGTATTTGGCAGTGTTTCTTCCAAGAATTCTGAATAAACTTGGACCGTGATATTGACACCTTCCGGAAAAAAGTGTGGTCCAATAATTATGTTGTCCACAATCCAAACATTGATATTATATTGTTCTTGGACGTGCTTTTCTTTCTGGCAATGGGAAAATTCTTTTCTGATGTTCATTGTGGTGATTGATACTATCGTCACTCCGAAAAGTGCATTCGTCTGTCCATAAGATTCTTCTGAGGAATATATCAATTGCAACATTGTCTATGTCAACCTGTATGATAAAGTTATACAATAATAAAAGTTCATGCTAATATATATATAAGGTTGGTGCAAAAAAATGTAGATTTTTCTGTATTGCTACTAAGAACAGTCATAACTTTGTTTAAAAAATGAACCAAATTTAAATTTAAAAAAGGATTTTAAAGCTTGAAAGCTCTACTTCCAAAAACTTATTATATTTTTTGAGTTTATGTAAGTTTGATAATTTTTACATATAAAAAACTACCAACTTTCACTGTGTGAAAAAAATGAAAAAATTTCTTTTCACTTTATAGGTCTGTTACGTGCCCTCTCAAAAATCGAGAAAATTTTTGACTATTTATCGTGAAAGATTGAAGTTTTCCCTACAAAATTTTTTTTTTAATAATGTTCCTACGATTTTTTGTTCCTAATAAGTAGCATTCGGACTTTGATTGCTCACAACTTCGCTAAAAATTATTATATTGCAATAAAAAAATATAGATTCTTAAAGTTGAAACTTCGCTCTATCAAATCTATAATCGCTAACTTTTTAAAAATATAATAGAATATATTGGAAAAGAAAAACCATCATTTTATAATACCGAAAACCGACATTTTTTTTGCATCAACCTAATAATTAATAATATAGTTGTATTTTTTCAAATTTTCCATTTTTTTAAATTGTACGAAATTATCATCGTCTTTCTATTTATTACTTAAGTAAACATTTCATCGCACAGGCTTCATAAAATACGATGATTCGCACGAATGTAGAAACAAACCAGCAAGGAATAATTGAAACTTTATTTATCGAGATTCCGTATATTGTAAGCTTTTGAAAGCAAAATGGCTAATAAATTATTAAGTATTGAATTTATTTGATTTGAGATCCAATCACAAAATCTTTCTCGACGAGGTAAATGGGGGGGCGGGGGAGGAACAACTTTTGCGTTGTGTGCCTTTTGAAAGGATGCCACCTAAGATTATACTTAATTATTCTGTGCACTTTGACGTGATTTATATTAAGATCACGCGCAATACACCTGGTGTTAGTATGCGGATTTGCAACGACAGCATCTCTTACTTCACCGATTATTTCTTCACCGTCGGCGTATGTTTCGTGGACGTGTTGACGCGTGAAGAGTGCCATATTAGCAAATTCGACGAAACAATATATCAAATAACGCGTGTGATGGCTGCTGCTTATCAGGGAAACAATTAGCGTAAACAACTGCGGCCATCCTTTCATTTTTATGGCATTCGCCATAAATGAGCAACATATTCGCTAACTCTTCGTTAGTATGACGAGGCATCTTTCACTCATACGTTTTCGCTACCAACAACTAGGCGTACTGATTTTCTTGTGTTCATTTCGCGTTACATTCCGCATTTTTCTACATCCTCATACACCTATAACGCGAATCAGACAAAAGACAATCAGTATGTCTAATTGTAATGAAAACGTGAGTGAACGATGCCTAGTAACATCAAGTTACGTAATATCACAGTGAGCGACTATGTTGCTCATTTATAGCGAATGAAATAAAAATAAAAGAATGGCCGCAGTTCTTTACCCTAATCGTTTCCCACATAAGCAGAACCCAATCATCGTTGGTAGTCCAGACAGCACAAATTATTTATGATAAAAATTAAAATAAATATATTAAAAAAGGCTACGAGCTCTAAACATAACAAATACATAATATACAATAATACAGCTAAAGAAAAATGTTAAGAGAAAGTCACAAACGTTTCGACTCCGACCGTGTCATTATCAATGTTAATCCATAATTAATATGAACATATTCAAACAATTTATAATAAATATTCTTAAATATTTGTAAATATTTCTTTTTAAAAATATTTTAGATAAACCTTTATTCAAAATATTATTAAAATATATAACAAATATTTTATATAATATTTATAGTAAATATTTAAAATAAATATAAATAAGTATTTCCAGTAAGTATTTTCTACTTGGATTATAACGCCATATTTTCATAACATTTACTACAACATTTATGCTAAATATTTTATAATATTTATAATGAATATTTAAGATCTGCGCAATCTAAGACTACAAAAATATTTACGAAGTATTCAAAATAAATGTTACAAATATTTTGTAAATTTGTAAATATTTTATAAATATTGCTGCCTGGGATGAACACTCTTAGAACATTCCGAACTTTCAAGATCAAGGCCTGAATATCGAATTAATTTTGGTAGCAATTTTTTTTAACCGGTTGTGTTGTAGATATAGATAGATTAGCATTTTATTGTTTCCCCTTAGGATTACAAATTATAATTTATACATACATCTTACATTCACAACGTATCCTATCTTAACCTAAATTATATTATCTTATTCTAACTTAATTCCCTACCGCATCTCTCTCTCTCTCTCTCTCTCTCTCTCTCTCTCTCCCTCTCTCTCTCTCTCTCCACGCGCCCGGACCCCCGCTTCCAGTGTATATCCTGCAAATTGTGCATTCCACTTACTTATTTACTCTACATTTACATTTCTTCCCCTCAGAGCTTCCCCCCCTCTCTCACTCACTCACTCACGCATTCTCTCTCTCTTCCCCTCCCCCCTCCCATCCATCTTCCTCTCCCATTCCCTACCTCCCTTATTCTCTCTCCCCCCTCCATTTTCCTCCTTTCCTCCTCAACCTCCCTCATTCAGCCCTTTCCCTCCCCTTCCTCCCATTCTCTCTACCACCTCCTACCAACTCCCTTCTTGACCTACCCTCCAACTTCTACATTCCTCCCACACATGTTCCCATGATTCCACTCTATTCCCACATAACCTACATTTCCTTTCCTCCTCTCCCTCCCAATATCTCTCTTCCCTCATCTCATTCCCTAACCTAAACCTCGCCATCCTTCTCCATCTCCCCTCCCCCATCCATTCCCTAAATAAGCCTTCACCCTTTCATTCACCTATTGTACCTCGCATTCCTAATTTTTTCTCATCTCTCCTCCTTCTGCCTTTCCCTGTCTCTTTCTTGTAATTCTTCAAATTGAATCCTTACCTCCAGCTCCCCCCCTTGCCATATTCCTAACTCTACCCCCCTCGAAGTACTGTCTCCTTTCCCTCTCCCATCCTTCTACCATTCTCTCTTTCCTTGCATTATCCCTTATTTCCTCCCAACATAGCTGCGCCAAAAAACTGTCCCCTCCCCCCCTTAACCACTCTTCGAATGCCCAAGCCCTTTTTCCCGCTCTACTTCTTAATTTTTTCCTTTGTATTTCCTCCCTAATTATATACCCTGGCGACCTTCCCTCCACCCCTAAAACTCACCTTAAGTATCTCTCCTGTATTCTTTCCATCCTCTTCCTCTCCTTCCATATTTCCTCCCCATAACTCATTCCCGCCCAAATCAATGTGTCAAACAACCATATCTTCTTCTTCCAGTCCTTTCCAAATCTCCTCTTCCCAATCCTCCACACCTGTTCCAACATAGCCGCCGCTTTCCCCACCCTTTCCCTCACGTGCTCTTCCTGCCCCCCATTCATAACGTGTACCCTAGATATTTAAATTTTCCTACCTCCTCTATCCCTTTTCATTTCCATCTCTAATCCACCTTATTACTCCTTCCCCCTCCCTTCCTAAATCTCATTATTTTTGTTTCTTTCCTATTCAGTTCTAATTATCGACATCCCTCTATAGTCCCTTACCTCCTCTCCCTGTATTTTTTCCTCACCGGTACTACCACTCCCTCCTTCCACTCCTCTGACCATCCTCTCCCTTTCCAAACCTTATTACACATTCTCCACACCCATTTTTCCATCCCCTTCCCCCCATATTTCCATACCTCAATTGGAATCCCGTCTATTCCCATTGCCTTTCCATCCTTCAAGTTTCAGGTCACGTTCCTTATCTCCTCCCTACTTATCTCCCTTTCCATCCCCTGTCTTTCCCTTCCCCTTTCTGCCTTTATCATTCTCCCTTCCATCCTTCCAGCAGATCCTTGAAATATTCCTCCCACTCCTTCATCCCTATCTCCTTATTTATTCCCTTCCATCTCTTCATTTCCATGTTTACTATTTCCCACACTTGCCTCTCACTCTTCGCTCTCTCCACTTTCTTTTCCCATCTCTCATTCTCCTTTTTTTTCTTTGTCTCACACAGTTCCTTATATTCCCTTTTTCCTTTCCTGTATTCTTCTCCCCCCCCTACCTTTCCTCCACTCCCTTAATACCCATTTCACCCCCTCCTTCTCTCTACATTCTCTACCCCACCATCCCCTTCCCTTCCTTTCCTTACTCCTCTCCTTCTCTATATTTCTCAAAACTTCCCTTATTCTTCTTTCTGTTTCCTACTCTCATTCCCCTTCCCTTCCCTCCATATTACCTCCCTCAACATTTCCCTAAATACCACTCTCCTCTCCTTACCCTTACCCTTTCCCATTTCCCTACCTCTCCTCCATGCCACAACTAAAGGATGGTGATCTGAATCTATTGCATCCCCTACCTGCATATCCCCTCTCTAGCTTCCTCATCCACCAACACATAATCAATCACCGATTCCCCCTTCCCTCTGTATACGTCCAATTACCTTGTTTATCCCCTTTTATATTCCCATTCAGTATTGACCTTTCTTATAAATTCCACTAATCTACTCTCTCTTATAAATTCCACTGATTTACTCTCATCCTTGTTTTTTCTACTGTCCCTAGATCTTTTTTCCTCTTCCTCCTCCCCTTTAATCTCCTCCTTTATCCTTCCCCCCTCCTTCCCCGTTCTCGAATTAAAATCCCCCCCTATCACCGTTTTAATCTCCTCTATCTTTTCTTCCATCCATTCTGCCATACTCTCCATCTTCCTTTCTCAATCCATATTCATATACACCCCCACCATCCTTACCCTATTCCCACCTATTTTCATCATCCCCGTCATCATTCCCTCCACTTCTCCTTCTTTTCGTCTTCCCCCTCATACAACTCCTTTTTAATCCCCATCAACATTCTTCCCATTGCCCTTCTTTTTTTGTTTCTCCTTTTTGCATCCTGTACCCTCCATATATATCCCTCCGACAGTCTCTCCTTTAACAATTTCTCACTCTTTTCCTCCATCCATGTTTCCATCAACACCATTGCGTTACAACTCTTCAATCTATCCCAAAACTCCTTATCTTTATTTCCCGACTCTGCTACATTCCAAAACGCTATCCTCACTTTTCTCCCTTCTCCTTTTAACCTCCTCTCTCCTCCTCTCTCTCCTACTCCGTTTACTCCCTATCACCCGTTTACTCTCTCTCTTGCCTCTTTCCCCCTTTCAATCCCTCCTTCCTCCTTCCTACCCTGTCCTTATCTTCTACATCTTCCCTATTCCCTCCCACCCTCCACTATTATTTCCCCTTCTCCTGTCCTCTCTTCTTCTCCGTTTCCTCTTCCTTATTTCTTTCTCTCTCCTTTCCCCTCTTCCCCCACCTCTTTCCCCTCACATCCCTTAATTCCTCTCTATCTTCATCCCATTTCTTCATACCATTCTCCTTCTATCCATACACCCCTTGCCCCATACTTACTCCTCACCTTCATTATCACCCATTTCATCTTTCTCTCTTTCCACGTCAAATCTCCCTCTATCCAAACATCCGTTCCCTTCAGTTTTCATTTATTTCTCCATATCTTCCCCTTATCCTCTACACTACTTAATGTTACTATCGCCATCCCTCCTCTCTCCTGTCTTTCCTTATATCTTTTCAATCATCCCCCCCCCCCCTCTATACTTTTCAATATCTCTTTTATCTTCCCTTCTCCCCGTCTCCTATTTGACCCCTTTTATCATATTTCTTTTTCTCTCGTCCCTTTCCCTCCATTCACTTCTTCTCTCCAATCTTCTTATTCTTTTCATCTCTCTCTCTCTCTCCATACCTCCTTCCCTTCTTCTTTCCCTACCTCCACATCAACTCCCTTTTTTACTCCCTCCCCTTTCTTCTCTCCCGTCCCTATCCTCATTTTCTGTATCTCCAACTTCCAACTCAATCTTCCCATCATTTCCTCCTTTTCTCTCCTCCAATTTTCTTCTCTCTCCCTCAACTCCCCTTTAATTCTCTCCATTTCCTTTTTCATAATTTCTTTCTGTCCCTCCACTACCTCCCTTATCTTTCTTCTCACTCCCTTTAGCCCTTCTCTCATTTCCTCCCTCATTTCTTTCAATAATTCCCTCATACCTCCTTCCTTCCCCATTTTTATCGGTGATCTTACTGTCTTCTTGCTGCTTCTAAAAGCCTCTTATAACTTCACCTCTTCCTTCACTTCTCTTTCACTTTTCCTCTTCCTTTGTATAAACTTCAATCCCTCCCTCCCTCTCTCCCTCCCTCCCTCCCGCCCTCCTTTCCTCCCTAATTTTACAAAAGAAAGAAGAACATACGGAAATATTTCGTATATAATTATATATGTTTATATAATTATATATGACGTTCTTATATGAATAATGTTTTATTGCATAACTTGTTAAAAAAACTCAATTTTTTATCTTTTATTACCGTTTCGGCTCCTCTTATAATGATCACAATGATTACTATTCAAGTCCGTCATAATAATTGGAACGCTCCTGATATTGTTGGTATAAAAGCACCGTCATTACCTACGCTGCGCAGTCGATACCACTGAACAGCGCCTTGCCCCTACAAAATCTGCTATGCAACCCGTCATACTGCCTAGTATGTATCTGTAACACCCTGTACATACCTCATAGATTGGTAGACAGATCGAATCAATGAAACCAACTTGCATTATCGGTAGTTGATCCTCTTTCTCTCGATTCATAATGTCCTACAATATCAGATACAGGTGCATTCAAGATTATTTTGATTATATACAAATTATGTTTATTTCTACTAGAGGTGTGTGAATTAGTTTGAATTTGAATCGAATCGAATTGAAACACGATGGATTCGATTTGATCCGTTTCCGAATGTGAGAGATTCGAAACCAAATAAGTTCGAAATTTCGAATCACTAGCCTATTTTATATGCTTTATTTGATCGACTCTCTCTCTTTCTCTCTCCCTTTTCTATATCTCCTGCGACCAATCTTATATCAGCACCGATCTTCGTGCAAGCACGTGCGCCTATTGCTTTACATTGTGAAGAAAATGCTATTCATTTCTTAAAATACTATTAATTTTGTTTAAGCTAATAAAACGGTCTGAATTAAAGATACAAATTTAGCACAACAATTTATGGCTTTAAATTAGGTTTCAATACACCGAAAGAAACGTTTTGTATGTATAACTATTCATTTTGTTGATGTGAAAATTTTCTTACTTTTTCATTAAAAAATTGTATTGTCTTAACCAAAATTTACGACAACCAAATTCTGATTAGAACAACAAGTTCAATTGGAATAACAAAAATTTTTGTTAGGACAAGACAATTTCAAAATAAAAGAGTAAGAAAATTTTTATTAGTCATATATTAACAAAATAGATGGTACTAAACATTTCTCTCAGTGCAGAATAAATTGTCACTAGTTCCTTTAAAGCAATACATTATAATCGCTATTATTATTTGTTTAATCATACGCATATGAAGATTTAAGTGTCTAATTTATCAATTATTATTATGTTATAATGTGATATTTTTTGTATTATTTTGTATTATTTGTATTATTTTGTATTATTTTACTAGAAACAAATAAATAAAAGCTAATTTAAAAAATAATGAAGTATTTTCAATGACGGTCCAGATCTCTTTAAATAAACGAAAAAATGATGAGTCATTTTCAAAGTGCAGGTATTACCGAAAAAAATGTTTTTAATAAATTTGTCACATTATCAACTTTTTGATATACTTGTACATTCAAAATGAATTATTTCAGCTTTTAAGTTTTTTTTAGCTGTCAGTATGTGAAAATTTGATTCGAATTCGATTCGTTTTTGAATCAGAAGGATTCGATTCGATTCGGCGTAAAGATATCAGATTCGATTTGATTCTTTTTCGAATATGTTGTCACAGATTCGATTCGATTTGATTCGAACTTGAAAATGCTTGATTCGCCCACCTCTAACTGCTACTCATGCTACTCACAATAGGTGTAATATTGAGTGTTCGCCTTTCTATGTCGCCCTGTTCGAAAAACTCGCTACTAACGAGTTCGGCTACCCTCTTTTCAACCTCCCATGGTTTTGTAATGGCGGCTAAATCACAGACTGTCATCAGCATCCCGCGTAGAAGCTCTCGATGATCACCAAATGCCCAGTTATAGCCACCATTGCGTGCTAAATTAAAAAAAGCGCCACGCTTTCTGAAGTAAACTGCCAGATCAGTAGAAAGTATCGCTTCTTCAAGAACCTTTACCACGCGCGAATATTCTTCTGGTGAAAGATTTGATAGGATTTGATTGCCCTGGCTGCTCAAAATCATCAGACATTGATCAAAGTGATGATGTTCCATCGTCGAAGTTGAATATAGTTGTGCCAACGGTGATGAAGCTCTAAAAAGCGAAGTATTTCATATGGATACAAAACTATTCGTAATAAGATAAAGGACATAAATGCACGTATGTGAACTCGGTGTACCCGACAATAAAAAAAAATTGTTTTAATATGCATTAAATTAAGCTTGGTTTATTTCCGTTTGCACAACCTTCTTCCTCTGATGGTGGTACAAGTGATTTCGGAACAGCATCCTCTTACAGATTGAAATCTCAAGGTATCTCAAAGTTACTAGCATATTTTTCAATTTTTTCCCAGCACACTAACGTTGAATCAATATCTCAGAAACGGTGAATTGCGAAAGTTACAATAACATCGCAAAATGTATAGTCAATGTTAAAGAGACGTTGCAGAAACATCCAATGTCCGTTGAATTGAATGGCAACGTGAAACGTAAAATATTTTGCATATAATAATTAATTCAGTATTATTAAAATAAAAGTATTATTGATTAACATCATATTCTAGAACACGAACGACAAAATTATAATTGAAAAAAAAACTTTCCCCCTCAATTGGGAATTAATCAAGCGACGCGGCAACGTCGCGACGCCAAGTGCATAAAAGTATAAAATGGGTCACTTGACGGGTCGCTTGATCGCTTAACGTTTGAATGTCATTGCGTATATGTTCATGTCGCTGCCAAATTTGCGACGCTACCACTAGCTTTATCTGGAGTTTTGACATCAACAAATTTTAGATTAAAGAAACTAAAACTGCAATCAAAAATCTTAAAACACTTTTTTAATATAATGTCATCGGTATCTTTCGATTGCGACCAGTCCGAATAAAATTGGTGCAGCCAATACCGAGATCTGAAGATCGAGTCCCGAAAAGGGAGCATTTCAGCTTTTCAAATTTTTTCAGTCGTAAGTATGACACATACATATAAAGTGTTTTGTCCATTAAGCTGCTTTTCACAATCTCTTCATACAATTTTAATTTTAATATAAAGTTAAAATAAGATTAGCAACGAAAGTACGGGTATAATTTATGTACATGAGATGGGGGCGGGAGCGGGGGCGACGACGACGACGACGACGACGACTATAATCCATTGACAATTTTATATTAATATATTGACAATTTTGGTCACTTTCAGTCTATCTTATGTGTCTCGCGTAATGAAATACTTGGCTAATTACATTTATTTCATATTCGTTTTTGATTAAAAAGAATGTATTCAATATCTTTTTTATGCACTTGGCGTAAACTTTTTCTTTTTTTTAACAAATTTTTTTAGGGTTTCCTCGTTTTCCTAAGCGGTCACCAATTCAATTTTGTACCTGATCCAACGGTGCTTAACCTCTGCAATTATGTGGGAACTGCTGCTTCGATGATCCATGAACACTGAATGTATAAAACTGTGATATACAGATATGTATAATAGAAAGACCACAAGTCGACGTTGCGAATTGGACTGGTCAAACAAAAATAATATTACATGCATAAGCATTCTGTACTCGCGGCCGATTCCCGTGTAAAGGTGTATCATTTAGAAACAAGTTTCGTTAAAAGATCAATTAAAATGACTTAAATTTTCTATTTACATGATATTTTATTATTGTTCATTTTTTACAAAATATAATAGATTTTGATATATAATTTGTTCAATGTAGTTTCAACGTTGTAGCAACATTAACAATCAATGTAGAAGAATCAATGAAAATTCAATTTATGGTTCAATTTGTTTAATATTATTTCATCGTTGCAGCAACAATCAATGTAGAAGAATCAATATAGATACAATATTGATAAAATATTAATACTTCAACATTCAACATTGCAATATTTCAGCAACATTTTTTCAACGTTCTGTGCTGTATGAGTTTATAATTTTAAACCCTTTAAAGTACAAATGAAAAAAAGGTAATACGTATTAAAAAATCTTTTTTTTAATATCAAGTGCCAAGTTCTCATAAATACGAAAATAAATATAAGTGCTCACTTAATTTGGAAAGAATTGTTTGTTCCACGATGATCGAGATCATGACACAAACAGGCAATGATGAGCGCAAGACATTCAATTTCACCAAAGATTTTCCACCATTGCGTAGCCTAAAAATGATTCCAATTCTTATTTCACAAATTGCAATTTACACTACAATCGATAAAAAAAGCTCACCGTTAAAATAGCAAACATCATTTGGGCTACATTAAAAGCATGCCGCCAATTATGATACGTAACGTTCCGATAGTTCTTCTTTACACTCAACAACCAACGACAAAGTACGTCATAATCGATGTGAAATCGTTCAACAAAGTCCAAATCGAGAAACATCCTAAGACACGCAGTAACAGTGTCGCCATCTTCCATATGTATATCGTCAAATTTGAAATCATGCAATTGAAAATGCGCTGATGACGGGACTCTTAAACTCTGTCGAGATAGAGAATACATGATAAACGTATTCAATTAATGGTTTAAATGTTATATGTAGCTGAAATATACACTGTGAAGCTAAAGCACACCAACCTTCAATCTTTGCGCGTCCTCCAACGATGCTGATGCATGGTAACTTAGTACTTCTAAAGTGACGCTTTGTTTTGCCATCGCTATCACTGCCTTTTCATACCTGAAGATCCGATAAATCAAGTCGAATATTCGAGATAGACAAGATACACAAGTACACTCACATGTGCGTATTATGAATTCCCATTCCGCAGAAAATCGCAAACGCTTCAACAAAATTTTCATCGTTCTTTGTAAAAGGGAGATCGTCGAATTTATTGATTAGTTGAATGACGCCTATTATTTGACCGGATGAATTCTTGATGGCCATACAAAGAATTGTTCGATGCCTAAAACCAGTGCCATCGTCCACCAGTGGATCGAATCTCGGATCTTCGTAAGCATTCAATATATTGACAGTCTGAAAAATCTTTTATATCGTCTCGAGCGCTAATGCTTTACAAGAAATTATTATTAATTCAGCGATACTTACTTCACCGGTAGTTGCTACATAACCCGTAATACCAACATTAATAGGAAATCTACTCTCGAAAGGACTGCAATAAGAGGATTTAATTAAATACCCAGAATAAACTTATCGAAAAAAGCTAGACGTATATAAACTTGATTTACCTAGTGCGAGAATCAGAATCCTCGCCAGCGAGATCATTCGCTTCGAAATCAAAAACGCGCGAGAAACTTCCCTTTGAAGCTTTGTGCACGAGCAACACCTGAAAACAATCGTGACATTGTAATGGTGGACAGATACTATGATTATAAGCCCGGATTTTCATACAGACAACAACGCTTTGATACCGAATGCTAATTGTGAAAAACGGGTGATGGGGATAAATTTTATCCCCCACAACCGACTTTTCACCAATCAGCGTTTTTTACTCGCGTAATTGCATTCTTCTCACGACGTTCGTTTATGTCAATTACCTGAACACGTTGGCATTGAATCAATGATTGCGTATGAGTGAGAATTCTAAAAACCATGTGCTCTATCGTACTTTGTTCCTCGAAAATCATTCTAGCCAAATCCAATAAAACCTGATAATATTAATATTAAAACAAATTAGATCCCTCTTGTCGTCATTTCGCTCGGTTCGACGAAATTAACATTTACCTGATTTCTCTTCACCTCTAATTGGCTCTTTTCGTAAAGCTGAGCATTTCTTAAACCGATACCACAGAACTGTAAATAACCAGCGAAAATCTTTTCATCTTGCGCAGTAAATTGTCCTTCGCCGCCAAGCTTGTTAATCACCTGTGCCACTCCGATTACATCACCGTTGCAATCTTTAATAGGCATGCACAGCAAGGCACGCGTGCGGTATCCCGTTAAAGCGTCAATTTCGCGATTAAACCTCGAATCCTGAAACATTTAACGCCTATTTCTATCAATGTAGATTAATTTTAATCTTGGTTCTCATCCACACACGCTCACGCGACGGACGCACGCACGCAGACACACAATTTACTCTTCATTCTTTTCTAATTAAAATAATTTTCGAACTAATATTATTTTCTACCTAAAAAAAGATAAAGAGTTAGTTAAAGAGTTAGTTAAATCGAGATTAAAATTACAAGGGCTATCTAGAAGGTAAACTCCATTTTTAAATTGTGCCGCTTGCGTTCTAAGTTTGTTGATCCTCCTTGAATAGGAACCTCGTAGTTTCAATCCCACGTCATTGATTAAAATAAATTAAAACATCGCTTATATATGAAGTGAATTGAAATGGATTTTAAAAAGTTAAGAATTTGGATTCAGAAATAACCAAACGAATCTATTTCAATCTAATTTCAATCTTTTTCAGAATACCGAATCCTTAATCTTTGATTTTTATCTATATTTTTAATCATATAAATTATTATGATTTTTAATCATATAAATTATTATGTCTATTCCTTCGCCTAAATCACCAATGTTTAATCCAGTACCACCATCGCCAGTCCTCTTAATAATCGGAATGCAAATACCTCCAACATCTCATGTCATGAGTTAAGAAATCCGGCGGGACCACGAGACATATTTATATGTAAATTTTGTATAAGGTACTAGCATTTTTTCATCTTTATTTTACGAATATGTTGCAAGGATTTATTCTAAATCATGAAATTAAAAAATACATATGTAAACTTTATGTAATAAATGAGATCTATCTATAAGAATAAAATAAGTTGTAAAAGTCCGAGAAAAATGTGCTGGAAATAATGTTTATGTAATTTTTGTTCAGAGTCATGTGATCAGTTGACGCCTCTCTCCTACTAACAATAAGCTCTTTAGAATGAACGAATAAACTCCCCCCCTCTCCCTCTCCCTCTCCCTCTCCCCCCTCGCTCTCCCCCTTCCCCTCCCCCTCTTTCTTTCTTTTTTCTCCTTCCCTCTTCCTACCTCTCCTTAATAATAAATAAATTAGAAGAATAAATAGAATAAAGCGAGTAAGAGAGAGAGGGGGGAGGGAGAGATTGAAGGAGGGGAAAGGGAGAGATTGAGGGGGAGTGGAAGGGAAGGGG